CTGACAGTACTTGTTCATCTCAGTCACGGCTTCTTCGAACTCCTCATTTGTGAGGACTGCTTCATATAAAACCCGGCGTTCCTCGGAAGTCATACCAGCCGAGACTGTGGATTCCTGGAGGCATTCAACAGGCAGAATGCAGGAGCACATGGCCTGTCTTCCTCTTTGGGTGAGCCTGCAGTCGGCACAGACTATGTTGCCGCAATTGAAGCAGAAACAGCCTGTTTCCTGGCCACATATGAGACATCTAGCTACATCTGGACGTTGCAGCAGTCTTATTTTCTGATTTAGGCTGATAGTGGTCCTCCGGACTCCTATTGTTTTCTCCTTTTTAGGAGGTTGAGTGGAAGACGACGCACTGTCCTTGGGTTGGTCCCATTCTTCATCATCCGGAGCAGAGCTGTCCTTGATCATAAGAGGCTTCTCCCTCTTCCTGTTCCACCGGCTGACATATATTCTCTCCTTGACCTCTTCCTTCATTGCTGCATTGGTTCGGGCCTTTGCAAACAGATGTTTCTGATTCTCCTTAAGCCTGGCCTCGATGCGCGTACGTTCTTCGAGCAGGTCTTGATCGTCAGCAGGTTCCTCGAAGTTCAGCTTGCTCCGATTGATTCTGTAGTAACCGCCACTATCCGGGTCGTAGAGAACAAGATAGCCTTCTTTCTCCTTTTTAGGAGGTTTCTGCGGTTTAGGTTCTTCGTCTGATGAGATGACTTCTGATGGGTCAATGTTGACCTTGCTCATCCCATCTGCGAGCTCTTCTGACGGCGTCTTTTTCTTCTTCGTTTTGGAAGGTTGTTCCGGTCCAGAAGGAGCAGCGTCTCTTGCTGTTTGAGACTTCACATCTACTCTGAGTTCAGAGGAGGAAGATGAGCCTGACTTGTTTGAGTCAGAGTCCTCGTCCGTCTCATCATCTTCATCCTGGGTAGGATCTGCTACTTCTGGTTCCGATTCACCGGAGGATGACTCCGTTGTCGGAGGTGCTACGTTTTCTGCCGTATCAGGCATCGGTTCAGGAGGCAGGTGTGAGGAAGTTAGCCTCAGCACTTCTGTAGAACTCGAGGATCCATCTGCATTCCACAGTTTTCCGAGAAGACTCTCGGGTTCTTTTTGTGCCTCGGCCTGTCTTGCGAGCTTGGACCGAGGATTGACTTCTGCTGTGGCAGAATTCTCCTCTGAGATTGACTCCGCTTTCGGATGTTCTACATTTTCGGCTGAGGGTTGCTCCGTTTTCGGAGGTTCTACATTTTCGGCGTGAGGAAGAGAGAAAGACTTCTTGTGAGAAGATCGAGCCTTAGGAGGCTCTGGTGGTTGTCTCCGCCCTGCCATTTTTAGCAATTGGGCTTCCATGTCTCTTCCATTGGTTTCACACCACCTTTGTGACTCACGTGCCAGGGATGGCATTTCCGTGTTACAGTGGTCGGACCACCATCTACCAACTCGTTTGAGTTCTTCGTACTGTGGAGACACCCACAGTTGCTCTGTAAGTGCGAAGAGAGCACTGATCATGCTTGCATGAACCACCTCAGGGGTTGAATACATTCCGGCATCTGAGTGCCAGAGATACGACACAACGTTGACCACGTTGTTGGCATCAAACACCAACAGCAGCGGCTTGTGTGCTCTCAATCCTGTTGGATTGGGGTCTCTGAGATTCAAGGCCGCAAACTGAACACTGTCCCTGTTGGGACGACTGTTGCAGTCAACAAGTGCCTGATAATTCTGGGATGTAACCACCTCCTTTAGGAGGGATGAAGGTACGATCCCGTGTCTCATGATTGGCATTCAGCCTGGAGATCAGTGGCATGCATGATAAAGACTGGTTCATCCTGTCGGATGTAATCCTTCATGCCTTTAGGTCTCGGAGCATTGGTAGACTTCCTTGGTGCTCGAGACTGCACAGGAGTTATTCCCGATGCCATGAAATCGCCAACAGTCATTTGTGACCTTGGGCGTTCTTCTTCAGGATCAGGCTCATCTGCTCTTGATAGAGCTTGCCTCGCACTCCGACCACCTGTTGCAGAGAGATACAGTCTGACCATAGACGATACATCCGTATTTTGTGGAATCGTCAGACCAGGTGTGGTCTCATGTCTTCTCCCGTCACTGGTATCGTAATCCATCCAAGCGACGAATCGACTTTTGGTATTCAAGATGATACCCAGTGCCATCTCCTGTGGAGAATATTTTGCCAGACTGTTTTCTGCCAGGACATCCACGGGCAGGATATAGTTGTGCTGTCCAAGGAACATGTGGTTTCTCATTGTGGAGATGTCGAGTAAGCCATGCTATCCATCTTCCAATTTGATTGGTCTTTGTAAGGATGTGAAAGCACAGCTCCTTGGACAGTCCGGTGGCTTCTACCAGGTTTGGTACTGAAACCTCGTAATCGTATTCTCCTGCACTTGTGAGTGCGATACTGGCGAATCTGCTTGGACCCAGCCACCCCTTCAGCAAGCCCCTTTCCCGTCCAGTGCCCAGAAGCCTAAGGTATGTCGCCCCACAAATGGTTCAGCCTGCCCATGGCCGCCCATGGGGGCCCAGGTTTCATGTGCAAGACCTGCCGGCGAGGCCAGCCTCGGCACCAGCCTTGCTACGACCGCCTCGCCTTCCTGAGATGACAGCCTTCGCACGGTCTACTGGCATACTAAGACAACTAAGAGGGGGCAGCCGTTTGCCGTCCGCCTTCACGGCATCTCGGGCCGAGACCCTGCCAGCCTATGGGTTCTCCCGTTCCTGAGGGTGGTTCAGACCGCTTGGGACTTGGGAGCGCACCGAGTCCATATACGGCTCCCAGATTTTTGCCGACTTTGCACAACCTAGGAGGCTTCCCGGGCAAGCCGGCCACAGCCTACCACCAGCCGATGTCTTACAGCCAGTCCCTCGGCTGCCTGCGCTACTTCATCGCCGCCATCTGGGGGGACAGCACTGCGCTCGGTTCCGACAATAAAGACGAAGATGCACCGATAAACAAACAACCGTGCAAGCTGAAACGAGTTAGCTGCGACAATAGATTGAGCTGGCGAAGTTGTTCAGCGCGCAAGAGCTTGCAAGCACCAGTTTTACCGTTAGAACGCTGAAGCTGACTGTGTTTTTGGCTCAGAAAAAGATCGCTGCGCGAATCCAGGTTTCTACCCAAATAAATCCAGATTAACTGGTGCCAACTTGTAAAAAGAAAAAGCGCAGTCGACGAACCTATAGTTTAGGAGAAGGTGCAACATCTGGATTGGATTCGGCAGTTTTCGAAAACTTGGATTGGAATTTGGTTTGCAGAAGTGAATCTGTGATGTTTGACCTGGATTTGGATCTCCACTGAAGCTGCTGCTCAGACGCAGTGAACTTGGTGGAATTGTCAACTTGCACCTGCAAATGTGCTGTTGCAATGGAGGATGAAGACAGAGCTGTGTTGTTGCAGCCTCTAGAAGATCCAAAGCAAAATTTGCGGGATTTTGAGCGAAACGTCGAGTCTGCAACCACACTCAGCGATTTTGTGTGGCTTCTTCTTCTTCTTCTTATGAGTTTTGTTTCTGTTTATTGCGTTTTGTTTTTCCTTCATGCTTCTTTTTCAATTTCTTGCAAAAACCACCATGCGATTTTGTGTGGTTTCTTTTTTTTTGTGTTTGTGATTGCGTTTTGTTTCATTAATTAATTCTTCTTCTCTCATTTTATTTTGTTTGCAAAAACCACCATAAAGCGATTCGTGTGGCTTCTTGTTCTTTTGTGTTAGTGATTGTGTTTTGTTTGAGTTTGTGGTTCTTTTTTCATGTTGGTTTTGTTTCGTGTTTGTGTTTGTGATCGCGTTTTGTTTCATGAATTTCATTTTTTTAATTTTATTCTATTCTTCTCTCTTTTGTTTTGTTTGCAAAAACGCAGTAAGGCAATTTCGTGTTGTTTCCTGTTCTCTTCGTGATTGTGTTGTTTGAGTTTGTGGTTGTTTTAATTTTAGTTTTGTTTCGTGTGGCTTCTTTTTTTATTGTGTTTGTGATTGCGTTCTGTTTCATGGATTCTTTTTTTCTAATTTTATTTTTGTCGCAAAAACCAACCATAAAACGATTTCGTGGCGTCTTCTTCTTTACTTTTGTGTTCGTGATTGCGTCTTGTTTGAATTTCTGTTTCCTAACCCCGGGATCTGGGGTTGTTAGGGTTAGCCCCAACTCCGGAACACGGGGTTGGGGTTGAGCCCGAGCCCCGAACCCGGGTTCCCCCAACCCCGGGACCCGGGGTTGGGGTTGGGGTTGACCTCAAGGTTGAGGTTGGGTCCCTAACCTCAGGTTTGGGTTCGGTCGAACCCCCTGCGGAGTATGCTCAATTTTGGGGTGGAGTTCCGAGCCACCAGTTGCTGTGATCGTGGTTTGGCACGAATACGTATCAAGGTCAAATCCGGTGACTGACTGTTTAGAGTACAGTCAGAGTGCAACGAGAAAGGATCGAATGAGATGTGACGATTTTCATGATTGTATTATTATTTTTTGATTGGATTGCATTCTGATTTACAAGACAAGTTTCAAAACGAACAATACCGTTTTCGATCAACAGGGAGATTTCATTCGGCATGTTGCGGCTTGTGCCACAGTGACGAGAATTCACCATACCAGGTCAAGTGGAATTTGCAAGCACCCACACAACGCACAACGTGTCCACATGTGCCGTTTGTTGATTTAATGTTTTCCACACATCTTTTACACCAAGAGGTTTGTACACACTCTTGGCATTTGCACAGCTTGCTTTTTTTGATTTTGTTTTTTTTTTCTTCGTCTTCGTCGTCGTCGGTTGTTATTAGTGTCGTTTTGCTGCAGCCGCATGCTCACGAAAGCGGGTTCGAATGGCTTCAGCCGGAATGACATTGTCCGTTTGTTCCGTCACCTTGGCAATTTGTGACATTATTGCAAATATCAAAGTGGGTAATGTTCATTCAGATGTTAAGCGGAGGACAACAACAGTTTTCATACCATGTGTAATCGCAAGTGCCAGTTGTAGCAGCGTTTTCTCGCACGGCCGCTATGTCCGATGGCGGTGAACAGATCCTCATCCCGATATGTGATTGACAACATGTTTGCATGGGCAAAGTTTCGGTTGACCGGCCAATGTTTGCAATCAGAGGGATTGTTGACCTGTCGCAAGGGCGGCTGGCGATGCTGAAGGGCAGACAGCGCCAGAAGAGAAAAGCTCTGCCCGGGCTTGTGCCGAGGTTGGAGTCATGCATGTTGTGCACGCTGAACATCTCATCGCTTTGTGCTCGCTCGTTCAGACCTCCTTGGACGCACTAGCAGTCGTTGGACGTGGCATGATGGCTACCGGTTCCGACGCTCGTTCTCAAAAAGGTAAATGTTGAGTGACGGTGGGCTTTCTAAGAAGGACTTGCCTCACTATCGGTGTGAATCCTCAGGCTTTGCTCACTGCTGTGCAATACACTGCGTATCCCATCAAGGAGGCGCTGACTGCCACAATTGACCGGAGAGTTGTGGTGAACTCAAGCTGTCAGGGTGTCATTTGTGTCATGGACACCACGAGTGAGTATTTCTCTCCATATTTGAAGAAGCTGCACCCTCAGGAGTTCTGGTACCCGTCATGGTTAACAAATCGCTCGGGCCCCTTGTTTCTTGCAGGCAGGCAGCGAACCACGTACCTACGTTTCGGTACGGATGACAAGGTGATAGCCCGAAGAGTTTTTAGCTTTATCCTCATCCTGGCGAAGCTTGGCTTGAGCACTCCGTGAACACCTGACCCAGAAGTGGTTCCTGGACAGTTTCACCATGTTTGGAACAGGTCACGCAAGCTCATGTGCGTGATGCAAAGGAGCAATTGCCTGTGTGAGCATGTTCGCTTTGAAACAACGAGTCCAAGCAAGAATTATGCGTGGTGTTGTGTAGTCTGCGCACCGCCGGCAGCCATATGCTATCATAATTGCCGGTTGTCAAACGGTCATATCCACTTACAACGCCAGTATGCTTCATGTGATAAACGACATCTGTCTAGGCAAGACATCTCTGGGGAAGCAATCGTCAAGCCGCTCAAGCTTAGTATGGTCGCAGCATCAAGAGTCAGCGCGCAACACGGCAAGGCAACGGCACGGAGTAGTGATATGAAAGTGAAGCTGTCACAGCTTCGCCAACCTGACGCGATTGCAGATTGCAGTGCAAGCGGTGCGAGCCCGCCAGGTGGAGGTGCGTCGATCTGCCCGCCTTCGCCAGACGCCATCCAGGCTGCGATTTTGCGAAGTTCGCCGCCGTTCCATTCAGGCTGTTTGCAGTTTTTGCAGACATGCTTCCGATCATGCACGGGCTCAATCGGACTTGAAGTTGATGTCGCTATATCACAGGTTCTTACAAACTTCCACAACAGTGTGTGAAAGTCTTGGTAAATTTGCGGGCCGTCCATCGTCTCGTATTGTTTTCAAGCTCATTCCTGTCATGCATTTTGCCGATAACCTGAATCGCGTTGCAAATGGCTTGATCTAGTTAAGGGGGGGCGCACGGATCCCATGACCTTATTGTGGTCTGATGCATCCAGCTCGTTGAGCACGGGTCTGCCAAGTCCATAGCCCAGTGCTGCCAAGCTAGTATACTGCATGATCTTTGCGGCATGTCCAGTTCGGCTGAGGCAGACTGAGTGCTAATGTTTGGCATCTGCTGCATCTGTGAAGATGCCAAAAGCACAAAGGCTCGGGGCTCGTGGAAGCTTCGTTGTCCTAGTTTTGCGGTCGCAAGTCTCAAGGCGACGCCAGCAAAAGGTCGTCGGAGCTCACAGAAGATTCCCAACGCTGTGCCCTGTCACGTGTGTCCGTGCATGAGACAGAGCCAGAGCAGCTAAATAAAGTCTTGGAGCCAAAGCCTTCTCCAGGACGTGAAAGCTGGAGGAGGCGGAGGCGGTGATGCATCCACACTAGCTGCGCCAGCAGAACCCGCTTCTTCCAGTTCCGTGCAGATAGAGGTGGTGGAGAAGGCATGCTGAGATTGCCGCAAGCTGCAATGGACATCAAGCAGCATCTCACTGGTTTGCAGGACGCGACGGCTTCGTACTCGGGATATGCTGCGCAAGCAGATGTTCTGGGCGAGCAGCAGGCTGATGGCGTCGTGACGGTGGATGTGGACGATGCTACCGAGGCAGCTCGGATTACTTTTATCTTCCACTGAAACTGCTTTAAAGTCCAGAGTCAAGGAGACTGTTGCTGAGGATGCGCCAAATCAGAAGCGGACTCGGCGGAGAAGCCACTTCGTTCCAGGTGGTGGTCCTGCGCCCGAGGTGCCTTTGTACATGTCTTTGATGTCTGTTTGTTCGTACAGAATGTATTGGGATGCGTTGACTAGTATGTGCGGTGTAGGCGAATATCTGAAACTAGTCGGCATGCCTCTCGCTTTCAGAACATGCAACTGCCCAGTTAGTTTAATGCAGTGAACTGAAGAGAACTCTAGCTGCTGGCTACTCGACGGCCTGTGCGAGACACGTCTTATGTGGTGGCCACGGAACTAGCTCTTGGTTTATTCGTCCTCACGCCGACAGGACGTCTCCCCGGCCGCAGTGACGTCTGGCATGGGGGAGCTTCAATATCTTGTGCAAGATCCATCAAAGGTCTTCCAAGGCATGGTCATTCTTGTTCTGTGTTGCTTCAATCTCAATGCTTGGTGCAGAACCACCCCGTTGCCTGAGTTTTGCAGTCGTAGTCCAAAACGTTTCGGCTGGGCAGCTGAAATACAAGAAAGGCAGGCACCTTGAAACCGATCTCCGTACAGTATGCAAGGCGTATCAGACATCCTTACGAAGAGTAGAAGAGTAAGGGCACACCGGGTTTCCCATTTCCCAGGGTCAGTGTCGCAGCCCCAGGTATGGGAACAAGGGGGTTCATCCTATCCGTACCGGGGTCATCGGGCATACTGCTGAACGTCTATGACATGCCAACAAATGAGGCGCGTCGCGACATCGTGTTCAATTTTGGGGCGAGTGGGGTTCGTAGGCCGAAGGTCTGGGGTTTGGGTTCCGGTGTTTGGATGAGAGATTTTTTTGCTCTGCACGCGGCAAGTGTGATCACAGGCTATCCCCGATGTCGTTCGAGTCAACATTATGCCTGCCTTTCCGTCGGGTTCCCTGTGGCGAGGCGTTTGTGAAATTGTATGACAGCACATGGTGTGCTTGCACTGCAGACAGATAGAGACAGACGTATCAGACACAGATGGACAGACGGGCAGATGGACGGACATGGACGCAGACACAGACACGGAGGCGGAAGCACACTGCCATTCACGAAGGTGAATGCCATGGCCTCTAACCCATTCTCACCCTCGCATGCCAGCAGTCTCGAAGACACACCGGGGGATGGGTTGTCGTGGAAGCACATCGAGGGGAGGGTGTTGTGGTGGCAGTGGCGGTGGGAGTTTCGGCGGTGGTGGTGCTGGTGGGGACGGAGGGGGGAGAGGGGGGCGAAGCCCCCCAAGCCCCAACCTGTTGCTCCGGCTTCTCCGGTTACTCCGGATCAATATCCAGATATCCCTTCATTTCCATCGTCCTTGGGGCTCGCGGGTTTGAGCGCATCTCCTAAACGTTCTTTTTCCCCGCCCGCTCTTTTACTGCCTGCGGAATCGTCGGGATCTTCTGCTGCTCCTGCGTTGGACTTGTCTCTCTCCACCGTCCCTCGTCCCCTTTCCCCTGGATTCTCCAACCAGCTCTTCACTTCGGAGTTGGGTCCGAGTCTTGGTGGATGCGCCCTTTCAACCGTTGGTCGGTACGGACCTCCGTCTTTCTTACCGGCCTTCGTTTTCCTGGTGCACTCAGGGCTCTCCAGTCAACGTGTGACTATCCCCACGGGTTCCACCAGGACATTGGACTTGCCGTCCTTTCGGCCTCGGCATGCGGATTCTTTGGTCCCCCTGCTTAGCGCCGCATGCTCCTGTTTATTCTCCCCTGCCTCTCCCGGCGACAGCTTGGATCTTGCCTCCAGTGGCTGCTCCTCCGGTGCGCAAAAGCTTCCCCGTCTGAGGCCCCTGCTTCCATGCGTCAGCTTGCGGAAGCCTCCATGCAGCGGCTCCGGGAGACTTGGCGACTTGGCTCAATTTGGTGAATGGCTGTGGGGAAGAGTCTGACCTGTTCCGAGTACCCGCGCGTCAGCTCACCCAGATTCCTTGATCATCCGGGTTATTTTCGCTTTTTCAACGAGCACGGGGAGACCGCCACAAGCGGTCTTTCCTCACGCTGGCTAAGACATGGTTCGTGCCGGCGGCTCTGTCGCCGGTTATCAACAAACTCGTTTTGCCATCTGCCTTAGCCCATTTGGTGCTGCGCAATCCCAACAACCTCTCTCATCGGCTTGTTTGCCTGCCTACGTGTGGCGCAACCATGCTTCAGGCGGCCCCACAGGGGTGCTGCAGGGCTGGGACAGACACTCCAACTCGTGCTCAGGCCCAGCAGTGCATGTGCAAGCATCCAGCATGCTGTTGCTTGGACCCCATACCATGGCATCTTTGTTGCACGGGCCTGGGCTCAACTGTATCGTCAACAGGCTCTTGAGATTCTTGCCTTCTAGGCATGATCTGGCCTTCCTCCTTGTCATTGGGAAGCAAGACCTGTCCCGCACTCTGTCGAATACCACCGATCTCGAGTGAGTGGATCTATATTCCTTGACTTGCAAATCCCCCACCGAGACCGAGCCACCATTCAGAAGTGTGTGCATCTCTGGTATGTGCAGCAGTCTCCGCATGGTCTGCTGCTCCACCATTTTGTTGGTTAACATTGCACGTTATGCCGATGCTGAGCAGGGGAAAAGACGTATCTATATACGTCCCGTGCCAGACCCTTTTGCAGGTGTGTTTCCCGAGATACGAGGATGCACTTCATCGCATCAGGTAGATGCCATCCCAAGGGCCTATGCCTCAAAGTGGTCATTGCCGTGCGTTCCTGGCCCACTCTGGCCATGCTCCACCTCGGGTGGCAACAACAACATCAACTCCCCACACATCGGCCCCCTCAGATATGCCGTGTACCCGTTGGTGGTACACTGATGACGGGGTAGAGTCGAGGAAAATGTCTGCCATCATACGTATCAGAAAACAATGAATGAGAACTGCTACATAAGCGTTGGAATCATCCTGGCGTCGACGTCTTCGGTCTACTGATGGTTCACCTGCTACTCCCCCCGCTGCGAGGTGGGTAGGATCTCAACGATGCGAGTTTTGTATCTCACAGCCCTTGCTGGCCACGCCGAAACCGGAGTATCGAGGTTTTGCAGCGCAAGGGACGATTATTCGTTCTGCGACCGCAAAGTCAAAAAGTCTCTTTCTCTCTATATTGAGTTGCCGGTATGCCAGGTTGATCAGACCAGGCTCCCCGTTCTGATGTACAGCTTCGTTGGGTATGGTAACATTAGAGAGCCGTACCCCCCTGCTGAAAAAGTTCTTGCGGGTGCTCTCCTGGTAACAGGGTTCCCCACACAAACGGTCATGCACGCAGATTTACAAGTACTAACCAAGGTTAGCCAAAATTCCACGAGCGAAGAGTTGACAAAACAAACAACCGACACGCCGTTGCCACGAGAGTTGATTAGGCTTGTGGAAAACGTCAAAACATGTTCTGTGCAGGTGTGCCCGTTGAGGCATGCATGCTTGGACTGACAAAGGCTGGCCCAAAGCGAAACCCTTTGGGATGGGAGTGGCACAGAGGGAAGTAGTTGTGCCATTTGAGGCTGGCGGATTGGATGCAGTTGTTGAAGGTGAGTTCAAGGACAGGGCTACGCCCAATGGACCGTACATCGTGTTAGTGGTGAGTTCAAGAATTTGCTAGGAGAAGTCCGTAGAGCAAGCCGGATGTGCCAGTGAGGTTGCAGCAAGGCCAGGAACGTGGACCAATGCCCTGTCAAGCAATTGTGGTCCTTTTTGACAATTCAGAAGTAGGCTTTGCTGAGAGACCAGGTCTCGATTCTTGAAGGCGGGTGTGGCTGTGAGCTGCGCGAAGGCACGGGCAGCAACAACGTCTCACAGTTCAAGAGAGATCACGAAAAAACACGCCAGGGTCGCAAGCCAGGGACTCCGAACCAGGACAGTTTTTCGCTTTGCGACTCCGATGTCTGCCCAATTCATGTTTGTGCACCTGGCAAGCAACAGAACAACATAGATAATATTGCAATGAGCAGCAGTCAGTCGAATGTTCGCGCGGCTCTTCCCATAGTAAATCTCTCCACCTGTTGCAGAAGGGTACCCAAGTCTTGTTGAGCAGATGCACATGCTTGGCTGGAGATTGTTGCAGCCGTAGTAGAGCTGTGTGACAGGACAATTTCTTCGTTGCAGAATGTGGGCACTTCCTTCTCTGCTGCGTTGCAGACGGACATGGCGCTTTTCCCAGCCGTCAGAGTACAGTGTTTCAGGAAGAATCCTGCATGAGGCCAAGAACAACTTGACTTTATCATGCTATCCCTACAAGACGCTGTCTTCTCGTCTTATCGAGTCGAGAACGAAGCAAAACCCTGATGCTCCTGTCACATAAGCTTCGGAATGCAAGTGCGCCATGAAATTCTTGAGCACAGACTCGAAAGGAGAATCCCGATCCCCAACCCTGCCGAAGGCATCGGTGGTCACTGGGCATCTCACTGGACTTGCAAGTTTGTGCTGAGGACTGGATGGCTGCTCTGTGCAGTAGCCGCGAAAGGTGTAGCACAGGTTTGTTGCTGTGCTCCCCGGTGGGTTGAAAGTCTGCAGGATGCTCCTGGAACACATGTCGACGACAAAGGAACTGCCGGCAGAGACAGTCATGACGAGGAAGCTTAGCTTTCAAATGCCTTTGATGCACTAGTTGTTCCCCAAGACATTTTCAGGATCTTCGACATCGTGCACCAGGACTTTCTGCCACTGTTGCTCAACAACACTGCTTCTTCATAGTTGCCTTTTAATAGTTGCCGATCCACGATCCTATGAACTGGCCGTGAGGCGCACGACTCAAGTTTGGCGTTTGTCCGTTCGTTCGTTTCTGGGTGGAGTGCATGTGATAGTGGCTGCTTGCCCAACACAGCCGCCAGCCAGAAACGTTGAACTTTGACAGGAGTGTTGCCTTTTCTTAGTGTTGGTCCGGGATGGGCAGAAGAGTCCATCATCCATCGCGGAGCCTTTTCGCCTGAGCTCTGTCGTGTCAAGGTCATGCTTGTCGGCGGGAGCTAGCTTCGATCGAACACGTCCTGCAATATCCTGCAATTTATCTCACGGAATGAGGAAGACGGTAGTTATGTGAAGAGTGGTGGAGGAATTGGTGTGTGCAGCTACGACGAAGGACTTCGAGCTGTCGCCGCGAACTTGGTTTTTCGTGTTTCAGTTGCATAGGCCTACAGCAGCGAAACATGCCCCAGCATGATAGGCTGAGTGGGACCACGTTGTCCGCAAGGGCCTGAGCACCAGTTTAGGATCGGCTTGCGTCCGGTATACGGTGCATAGTTGTGAGCCTTGTCATGATTGTCAAGTTGCACTTTGCAGCTTAAGGTGGCTGTCGTCGACCGACAAAAGAAGCAGCTTCTGTTGGCCTGGGCCAACGGCTAAGCCGGCTAAGCGATTAAACCTCAGACAGCAAGGTAGATGAAACACATCACAGTGCAAACATATGTTTCGGTCAATCTTGCAGATTTGAGCAAGGCTGGAGATTCGAGATGTGTGCTGGGCCGGCCTGCATCTCGTTCGAAAGCAGCTCGGCAAAACACAGCAAAACACTGAATTTTCTTTGCATTGATGGTCCTCCAGCTTGCGTCTTGCGGTTATTCCACAACTGATAGCTATGCCCTTGACTGCAGACTTGGGGGCTCTGTGCTGAGGCAAAACCTTCGTGTGCAGCTCGACTTCACTCGCAAGTCCTCTAGGGCCTGCAAGCTGCGGTGGTTGCTTGTGTGACATGGAATAGCCAACCCAGGTGGGAGCTTCAGAAGACCACAAGCCCAACGATCCTAAGGACCATCAAGGTTGAACGGTTGGTTCGTCCCGATGTGAGGACGCTGTTGGCTTGCCTCGACATGCTCATTCCTTAGGAGAAAGCACGTGTTGTCGAGAGTGGTGGCGAAGTGTTGCTGCTTCCTGGTGTGCCTTGACAACTGCTTCTCTGCTCGTCAGTCGATCCGGCAATCTGCATAGAAGCCAAGGATGTGCCACATCGAATATTTGCCAAGAATAAGGAGGTTCCAGGCTTGGCAATGTCCCGCTCAATCGGGGACTTGTCTGGGCATTCTGTGGGAGTGATCCACCAGCCGTGTCCTCAGCGGCCGTTCTTTGCACCTCCAAAGGCTTGTGACGTCCTCGCCAGTGGCTCCCTTCAGGATTGAATAAGATCTCATCAGTCTCAGAGCAACGTTGCCTTTTGTGGTTTCCGATTGCATTGGGGACGGTCCTCGGGCCTTGCCACTCCTCTCAGGCCAAGTGTCAAGCTGCTTGAGTTCCAAAAAGAAGATCTGCTGCTTTGCTGCTCCGACGGTGTTTGGGAGTTCCTGAGCGATGCGGACGCTATAGGCACCGTGCTGCAGGCCAAGCAGGATAGGGTACATGTTACTGCCGGAAGACATGTGGAGAGATTTCAGGAGTGTTTCAGGCATGTAGTGTAGCACACACTTGTTTGTGCGAAGTGACAACTTATTATCTCACCTAAACACCGAATCGGTCAGGGGATTGACTCACCGATTCAATTCGATCAATTGCATACTCCGTGGCCATTTTGGCTCAAGCTGTTACAGCTTGAGCGAAATTTTGTTTCAGTCCCCTCGGATCACTCCTCGGTCATAGCCGCCCCTGGCGGCCAGTACTTCGAGTTCTACTACGACCGCTGCTGGCGGCCAGTACTTCGAGCACTACGGCTTCTCTGTCGGTTGTTGACAGTCTGAAGGAATCGCTCGAAGAATTTAGCCGCGAACAAGTTCTCGAAGACTTTCAGATCGAGAAACCCGAGGATGTGACTTGGGGAGCCTGGAACAAGAGACAGTCGCGACAAATACGGAAGACCATCGAGCAGATCTCCCGCTGTCGGACTGGCGAAGACATCGTCAACCTGGCGGTGACCTTGTTGAAGCCGCCCAACCTCGAGGCCTTCCTGTACTTGCACATCACCAACCGCGACGACTCCGACGAGCCGCTGACCGTCCCCTTTGATGTCGTCGAAGCTTCCCTACACCCCGATACTGACCATGTACCTCTTCCCCCAGACACCGATGCTGCTCTTCTTGTGCATGAGACCACTCTGCATAATCAGCATTTGGAAGACATTTTTCGTGATGATTTCGGCATGGAATTACATAATCCCGAACCCGCGGCATCTGCAGCTCGAAAACGGAACTTCGAAGGGCGTCTTAAGCCCTCTACCTCGACTTCCATCGATTTGGATTAGCTACCTCGTAGCCATGGCACAACCACGATCTGACTCCTGGTTCGAATTTCTCTGCGAAGGTTCGACTTTGAATATTACTGCCCCTGTGCCGGACACTATGCTACACGAGTTCCCCATACAGGTCCGCGATGAAGCCCGAGTACCTGTCTCCGAAATACGACGACAGATCTGCCCCCGAATCCTCGAGTCTAAGAATTGCAACATGATGAACTGCGTGCACCTTCACCCCGATTTCCTTAACAAGGTTTGGGTGGTGCCCAACCTGATCTGCCATAAATGGTTCCAGGGCTGTTGCACTTTCAGCGATCACTGTTGGAACCAACACGGTCCAACCTTCGACGCGGCCATGCGCAGAGCCTTTGTGATACAACGACAGCTACGTCGAGATGAACCTCCATTCCACTACTCATCCCGCGGAGGTTTCCTCGAACAGGTCAATCGAGAACAAGCAAAAGTATGGATTATGGAGTCGATGGCCACGTTCCGCCACACCGAGATGCGCAAGTTCAACTTCGGCACCAACTTCTCCAGATACTACGACTTCGAGTCCTGGGACAAGTCGTCTGCCGCGGAACGACTACGACAGGACATGGCCGAAGGCCATCCTCGTGGACGCTCTCCCCGACGAGCTCGCGATGACTCCAGGCCGCCTCCAGCGACTTGGGGACAACCGTCGACTCCACGACGCAGCAATGCCTTTCCGACCTCGAAACCCCGATTTCCTCCGGCTGCGGTACCGTCGGCGGCCCCTTCGACTGCGGCACCATCGGCCGCTCCTTCGAATACACCGACAGCGCCGACACCGAGCCGACCATTCTTCCAGGTGGGCACGGACACAGACTCCGACGCCCCGAGCTTCGGCCGCAGCCCCCGCACTGCCTTCCGCCCCGGCGATGGAGCAGTACGGGGGTCGCAGCGACCGGTGTCGCCGGCGAGGTTTCCCCGAAGATCACAGTCACCGGCCAAAAGGTGGCTCGACACGACCCCTGTGATCGTCGAAGTGCAGGACGAGATTAATTCCTCGACGCCGGCCGCTGCGCCGCCTGTCCCAACACAAAAGCCTCGGCATCTATCCCCGGATCCCTGGCATGACGACGATGATACTACGGAGCCACCGACACCTCCGACTACGGCTACTACAAGTGCCCAAAGACAACAGTCGATCAACCCGGCCACAGTCAAGGTGCCGAACCCCCCGAGCGACTCCGAGTGGATGAACCCGTCCTTTGGCACAGCGACAACCACGGACATTGTGGGCGCCAAGACGAAGTCCATGCCCAAGCGCCCGCCGCCCTACCCCGATGTCGGAGACTCGATCGAATCTGGGGGAGTCGGGACACCGAGGTTCACGGTGCATTAGGGGTGGATCTGTCGCGATCAGACCCGAGACAGTCTCTGAAGAGGACATCGACACAGTCTGAGGCTGCATCTTCGTCGACGATCTCGACCCCATTGCGAAGCCCCTACACGAGTGTGCCAGTCTCGATTCAACCACAGCAACCACAACAGTCTCGTCTCGAAAGATTTCGAGTCCAGTGGCTCGACTCACAGGTGGTGGACAAGGGCAGGACATCGCTCGACGAGATTCGCCCGAATCCACCGACTGCACACGAGCCAGTGTTCGGATTCCAGACCCTGCGACACTTCGACAACTTCCCGATGTTGTCCCCGAACCTTCAGGCAATGACACCGGTGGGCGGCCACAACGTCGCTATGCTACCTCCCGGCAACCGCCCGTACTCTTCGTTTGCCTTCGACTCGCCCTGGGAGATCACGTATGACGGCATCCTCTATCTCGAACAAGTTCTCCGATGTCCTACCTACGGAAGTTATCTGACCCAGTTCGGATTGTACATCGACCTCCCGATCCACACACCGCAGGACGACACCCTCCAGGAGAGGATCCTACTTCTGGGAGTCCCGAACAACTTCGCGGAACCCCGAACCACGCTCACCTATGCTACGGTGTGGCACAACATGACGGCGTCTCTAGCCGACTTGAACCATACATCGGTGGAGGATCGCATGAACAGGCTCCGAATGTGGCGCCACACGGCCTACAACCTCAGTCAATTCACGGGGCAGATGCCGTACTTCGAGCCTATGACGACCTTCTTCCGCGAGCAGGCCTCGGCGATCCTCGCATGTACTTCGAACATGCTTTCCCCGGCAATGCGGATGTGCCTTCACTCAACACGAGACAATGTGGAACATCATTGCCGCTGAGCCACCGGCTTTTGTTCTCCGATTTAGGGAGGACACTCGGGCCTTTACCTAGGCCACGAAGTACCGTTTTACACAGACGCACCGTTTCCGCCTCGGCGATGCACGGGAGTTTCTAGTGTCACTCGACCCTCGGGTGCAAGAGGACTTCCGCCTCGGCGATGTGTCCTCTCGACCCACTCTGACCTGCCTCGAATCCAGCCTCGCTTCACACGACAACAAGGACAGCATTTTGCATTTGCTTAGTAGGGTAACAGCTGCGGTTGTGCATCAGGCTCTGCTAGTTGTAGTGGGGCCTGCTCTCTCCTTGGAGATTGCTTGGCTTCCGACTCCGACTTCTCAAGCCCTCTTTTGTGTTCCCGAATATCCCGACACACTCGACGAGATGGCAAGCCACCGTCAGACCCCGATGGACTCGGATCCGATCGAACAGTTTCCCGAGTCATCGACGACTGCGCCCGACCCCATCGAGCAGTTCTCCCAGACACCCGGGAGTAGCTCCGGGGCAGTTTTGCCGGCCGCGCGATATCTGGAAGGTGTTGACCCCGACACGGATGCGGGCCGTGCTCTCAAGATGCAACGAAGGCTCTACGGTGACCATAACACACAAGGGGCCCTCGAGATCATCGCTTTTAAGCGGGCCTCCGAATTGTCTGCGATGTCATCCCTACGCCGACAGTTCCCCAATTCCTCGGACGCCGAGCTGGCAATGATCTGGCGCAGACAACTGACTGGCGAGGAAGTCGATGACAGCGGGATGCCCATCGAACTCATTGGACGCGATGGAACATCGATCGAGGACCATCACAAGGGGCACGTCGACCGAGTGCAGATGTACCTCAAGTACTTCAGTACCCCGAGCACCGACAAGATCCACGATGGCTCCCTCGACTGCACCTTCTGTGGTCTCCTCTTCCCGCCCTACTACCTGCTCTCGATCAACCCCGACGGCGAAGACGATGGGCGCAATGTCCACTACAGGTGCTGCTACCAGTGCGCGACCGGGGCCAACGAGGAATTCGTGTGGTGGAGCACTCCGATCTGTCACCGGCCAAACTCGGAGTACGAGGCAATCTTCGCGATCTTCCCTATGACCAAGCAGATCGCCGAAGACTCTACGACCGTGACGACGACCACGAGATAAAAGCCTCCGGGGTGGCACATCGCTATCGAACGAACACACGGATTCTACTGCAAAGTCTTCTTCGACAGCCACTGGGATACATCGAAATGTCGCTGGGTCCGGAAGCCGATGTTCGTCCGAAAGGGCTCTACCCGATGCGACACGATCAGCGTCCCCGACTGGTACACGATCTGCCAGAAGGTGAACTCCTTTCGAAAGAAAGCGAACCAGGACACCGTAAGACAGCGAAGCGCATCGTGGAAGCAGATGTGCGAGGACATCGAACGCGAGCGCCCGGGGGACTCCAAATCGAGCATACGACGAGAAGTGCGAGCGAGAATCCTGCGGCTCACGGACATTTTCGTCGCAGACCTCGCTAAGCTCGACGAATCACAAAAACACCGAGTGTTCCAGGCCTTTGCCCAATGGGAAGTCACTACGATCGCTCGAGCCATCGATCCCCATTGGGACGCCGATCAGTTTTGGAGCATGGTCACTCACCGATTGGCTTTTTCGAGTCTCCGACAGCATCGACCAGCACTTCGTCTGTCGCTCGAAGGATTGCACTTCGGTGATCCACAACCACCACTGGCTCCGACAGATCTCGTGGGATTACTCGATTTCTTCGCAGCACGGTCGATACTCCTGCCCGCGGTGTTTGACCGCGTACAGACCCTGGGCACTCCGAAATAATGGGGCATCCACGAATGCTCCGACCTTCGTCCCTGCTCAGAAGGCTTTGATCATCAACGGCGATGGCACCACGCTGGACTTCGATGCATCGTCTCCTGCCCCGACAG